CATCAATAGTGATATCATGTCATATAGGAGTTTATCAATATTATTTTATTATTTATCTTCGTTAAGTTGTTTAGTTATTTGAGAAATAATAACCTCTTAATAGGAAATGATAAATGGAGCATCAACGTGTATCTCTCCAATGTTAAAATTTGATATTATCACTCCCACTAATTTAATATTATATAAGAATCTATTAAAAAGATCTTGATCCTCATCTATAAAATTAATATTTCTATCTAATTATCTCTGAAATTTATTTGTATATACCTAAGGGTGTCAATAGCCTGTGATATTATATGAATTTTGATATATTATCTATAAATATAATAAATTTTCTTTCTCTATGCAATAGTAAATATAACATGGAATGATTCAGAAATATAAGTATATATAAATCTTAAGAAATTCATGAAATTTTATTTCATTTCAAACATTTGATTGTAGGATCGTTATAAACTCAATATTCATATTAATTATGTACAAACCATTATATAGAATTTTATAATCAACTTTTATTGAATCATAAATATACTGAGTTTGTCATCATAAAAAGGGATAATATTTTTACAATTCTATATAAGAAAATTAAAATTCTAGATACATAGAAACATAACATGCATCATCAAGATTCATTATATCAATAATCTTTAAACATTGGTAATAAGTAACTATAGCTATCACTTAAAATAATTTCTTATAACAATAAACCTTCCGGTTTCTTTGGCTTTTTCGAGTTAAAATGAAACCATACCTATTATTAGTAATATGAGTTAAACCACCAAGTATAATCTACTAAATATTAAAAGAGACTTCTTGTATATTTAATTTAAAACAAATAAAGTTCTAAGTTATATATTTCTCTTTGAAAGCAAATTTTATAGTCCTTTTTCATATGAATTTTTTTGTCATAGAAATAGTATTTTACTATAAAGATTTTTCTTTTATGAGTTTGGCCTTTATAAACTTAACTAATTTATTTGGTGAATAATATTTTATTTTTATTATTATCCACTCATCGGATAGTAACTAGAATATCATGAGACCTTTCTTGCTTTAATCTTAATTCTTTCTATATACATATATTAATAAATTTATTTAAATTTTATTTATCTTTTTAGAAGGGCTCACCATGTATAATACTATTGAGCCTTACAACTTTATCAATCATTTCAATGATATGTCATAAATTTCTCAAATGTTATAATACTAATATGTAATGTGCTAGTTTACAAATTTCAGAACTCAAGTTATATATAGTAATAAAATATAAATATTATTAATAATTATCATAAAGCTAAACCTAAATAGCCCTTTCCTAATTATTTATTTTCATTATTTATTTCATTAAATTTTAACAGTTAAGTATGTGATTCTTCTAACAAATTCAAATACAGTCTACCGTACTTAATGTAAATTATGTATACTTAAGCTATTTATAGTAATTTAATCTAAAATATATATGAATACTAGAGGCATAATAATATAATAAAAATTATCACTATAATAATAAAATAATATAATATTAATATTTTAAAAAATTTAATAAATATTGAATTATTGATATTATCTCTATTTCACCTTTGGATTAAATATTGACATATCTAATGTTCACATAATATTTTAAAATTATAAAAAAATGATGTCATCATTATAAAATAGTATTATTATCTTTGGGTATATAATCATAAACTGTAAAAATATCTAAAATAGTATAAAATATATATATTTTGATATATTAAGCCTACCAATACAACCTTTTGGGTGATTAATTTTAACAAAAACTAAATAAAAATCACAAATAACAAATCGAACAACAAAAATGAAAAGATACCCGAAAATAGATGAAAAAACACCTAGTCAAAGTACAAATAGCAAAATCGCTAAATAAGAATTGGTTAAGGATATAGCTTTAACTAATGTAGTGCAATCTTGCAAGCGATTCAACTAAATAAATGACAAAGGGGCAATCATATAGAAATCCAAAGACAAACACTCCAAAATCTCTCGCTTTTATCATGGCCAAGCAAAAGAGGAGAGAGAGCTAAAGAATTGATCTGTTAAATTACAAAGGAAATAATGTGTGGGAAACACTAAATTCATCGGAAAAGCTTATTCTTAAAATAGATGATCCTCTCCGAGTTACACAATAACTCAAAATTTATAATTTACTTATCTTATTGTTAATACTTTTTACTTCTCAACCAAATAAACAATCTGGATGCTAAGTAGCGAGATGAACTATTTTGATAGTATAATTTGAAATTACCCAATTATAATATCAATTAGAGAGGAATGCTTTGCACTCATTGCTTCATACGATAGTGATTTAATGGTGTCAGATCACCTCCCATAAGACAGACTACACTCTATCAATAAAAATATCATAATTTATGATGTATACAATAATAATGATAATATTAAAAATTTTAAATAATTTATCAAAAAACTCTAATAATGAGCTTTTATCAAATGACACCCCATATTTGGTTTTTACTAAGTCATGTCTTTGTTTAGGCTTTGACTAAAATATCCTTAATGAAATCAGAAAAAAAAAAATTTTAGAACTGAATTGATTTTTTTAGATGAACTAAATTGGATCAGTTCAATTAGATCTTAACTATTTAATTTGATTTAATTGAACCCTAGATTGCCTTTTGATTTTTTTCAAATTATTCCCCACTTTCACACTACCGCTTCCTCCTCCCACTTTAGTGCCTCTTCTTCTCACTCTACCTCTACCACTACCTCCTCTCACTTCAATGTCTCCTCACCCTCCCCCTAGACTTCCTCCTGCTCCCCCTTTGACTCCTCCCACTCCATCGCCTCCTTCCCCTTCCAATTGTCTTCCTCCTCATCCACCTCGGTCTCCTCCTCCTCCACTACTCCCTCGCTCCCCTCCTCCTCCTCCTCTTAACAGATTATATGGATTAGCTTGAGTTACATCAATTCAAAGAATATATTTAAAAATATATTAATTTATATATAAAACTATCTTCAATTATAATAAAACTAAAAAACTCAAGTTATCCTAAAAATTATATTATTTTTATATAAAATTATCCTAAATAACTTATAAAATTTGTTATAGTCAAGTTATTCTTGAATTACATTTATTCATATAATATATTAAAAAATATATTAACTTTTATATAAAATTATCCTTGATCTATCATAAATTAGAAATATGTCCTAATAGTTTTAAAGAAGTTTGAATTAATTTTATAAAAATTAACTCGAGTTACACTTAATCATATATTTAATAAAATAATTCCTTAAACGAATAATGATATCACCCATAAGACAATCATATCACTTATACATCCAATGGTATACTACTCATGGACGATAGTACTGTCTAGACTTACAATGAAACTATTTGTGAGCTAATACTCTATTTAAAAATTTTAATTATTCTAATTGATTAAAAAAAAAGTGGATTGATTTATTGAAAAATAACTCAAGTTATACTTGATTAAATATTTAACACAAAAATACTTTATTTGAAAATTTAATCACCCTAAACTCATAAGAAATTTAAAAATATAATATTATACATCTTAGAATCACGTGCTAATAATTCCAAAGAAGTTTGAATTAGTTGAATGAAAATTAATTTAAATTATACTCGAGTTATACTTGATTATAGATTTAATATAAATATTTCATATTTTAAAATTTAATCATCCTAAATTAATAAAAAAAAGAAAAAAATAATAATATTAGTATTAATAGTTCAAGAGAAGTTTAAATATGTTTAATGAAAATTTAAAGAGTTAAACTCGTATTACAATTTAGTCAGGATCATATATTCAACCCAAATATATCATATTTTAAAAAACTAAACTCGTGTTATAATCGAGTTATCGAAATTAAACCAATTATAGGATGTAAAAAATTAATATTAGAGATTTTTTGATAAGTTATTAAAAAATAATAATAGTGTAAAAAAGATTTAAGAGAATCTCATAAATAAAGTTATTTGAAAAATCAATAAAATTAGAAGAAAAAAAAATTTAGACACAGGAATTGGGCGTCGAGACACGTATTGATGAGAAAGCAGGACAGTTCATGCCACACAGATGTTATGTACATGGAAAGTGACATGAAGCCTAACCCAAATGCCACTCTCTGTTTCACCCAGCAATACATGATTCTAATATAGCAACATGTCATACACATTTGTAACAAAAGCATAATTGACTTTTAGAGCAATAATATAATTCTGCAGAATAGTTGACTCTTAAAAGTCATTTATTTTCTATTTATTAAATTATTTGAGGATATTCAGGTATTTAATATACTAGGCATATATTATTTATTTATGACGAAATAAAAGTAAAAAAATTATTTTAGTGCAAAAAGGTTTAATATACGGAAGTATTGACATCTAAATTCACATATAATCATGAATATAATAACTAAGGGCACATATTAGAATAGAATATAAGTCAGTTAAAATGATATATCAATATATTATTCTAAAGGTTTTTTTAATTGTTTAGTCAGTTGGCTTTAACCGTTTTATGTGTCATGAAATAATGCATACTTATGAGAGGAATATGTTTGCCAAAAAATAATAATATAATTTCGTATTTGAGGGATATCATTGCAAGTCATGTCTCAGTTTGCAGGGGTATTGATGTAATTATATATTCTAATTTTTGCTATTTCTCAAAATACTATAATAATAAGCCTTATACGGATACGTTTAATCCCACCCGGCTAATTCCCATTTGCCATCACCCAAGTGCGGCCCGCATATAAAAGCCAATAATAGAGCGCCACATCAGTAATAAAAAGTGTGCCCCATCAGCAGCAACAAAGTGGTCAGTTGACCTTTTTTCAGTGACAGGGAACAGGGGTTTACCTTGATACTAATCATCGCCCCCACGTCATGGCCAGTATTGATGCGAGAGGTTAAATTACTGCTGTCCGAGGCGAGATATGAAATCCGAAGTCGTTCGAGGTAGTATTTAATGCCACCACAGGGGGATCGGGACTGGCGTTGGCTGAACTTGACCTGCGATCGCCGCGAGGCGGGAGGGTTGAGAGAGACGGAGAGAGAGAGACAACGGAGGCGATGGCGTACCGGAGAAAGCAGCCGGTGGCGAGGGTGTCCACCTACGATGACTCCCGATCCACCAGCGCCGGCGGCGAGGATGCCTCCTCGACCTCTTCAACTCCGGGTTCTCTCGCTGCCCGGGCGATCCGAGCCTCCGCCGCCCACCGCGACGTCTCCTCCCTCTCCTCTGCCTACGGCGAGTCCGCCGTATCCTCCCCTCGCCGCGAATTGCACCCGCTCAGATCGGCGCCTTCTCCCCAGCAAGTGAGTTCTACTCTCGCCGTGTAGTCGGTTCTTGATCTGCGTGTCCCTTTTTCTCTGGATCGCTGGTTTCTGTATTGAAATTTATAGGGTTTCAGAAAGAAGATTTTACGTATTGCCTGTTGATGTAAGTATCTCGTGGTTTTCAATCTGATTCAAGTCGATTTGCATGGTTGGAATTTTTAGGTCGAGAAAATTTCTAGTTACTGGGTGTTGCAATCAGTGAACGATGAGTAGTGATCCGGTTTTAGGATGGCAGGAGTTTTCGGATTCATTTGGTGAATTTATACACAGATGATATTTTACTTCATGCTGGAATCAGATCTATGCTTTCTTAGGTTCAATTGTTCAATTAAAGCAGTTCAGAAATGATTTCACGGTTGTCATTAGATTTATTGTACATCGTGGGTAATGCCTTTGTTAGACCAAGCCTATCGCCCAAGAATGTGAGAAGCAGCGATGTCTATACTGTGGCTAGATATTATTTTTGGTTCTTTCTGTCTATTCTCGGTGTGAATATGCTATTAAAACATGTTAACTTGGAAGAGATTTTGCTGGGGGCATTTTTCTTGCAGAAATTTGTTGCAGTGGGGCATAATTTATTTTCACTCCTTATCTGTCTTAACATTAAGAAAAATTGATCAGTCAACTTCTTGGGACATGACAAATATGTTGAGAAGGGGATATTATGCGACCACATGGAACAATTCATGAACTCTAGTCGCTTTTACATGATGTCTTTTACATTGCCAGCAAAAGAAACTGGGAAAGCTGCTACATGAGGTGGAAAAACAACTGCTCTCGTAAGCAAAAAAAAATGTTAGAGGTTTACTTTAATGTCATTCCTTAATAGGGTTTGGTCCTGATTTAAAAAAAATTGACAAATGTTTTAGCTTGAGATTGACTTGTAGGATACATAAAAAAATTTTAACATGCAAAATGACTAAGATGGATGTACAAGTGTCTACCACTTGGAACCTGAATTGATGTACTAAGCACACATTCAGATTACTTGGCATATTCAGATTGCCTTGAAGCCTACTAATGCTTAGGAAAATATCATTTCAATTCAACTTGTTGTTCCTGCATTGGAATTTACAGTTTCCTAAGATGTTACATGTTATATAGGCACTCAATTGTCTAGACAAGCTATTAGTTTCTAAAAGAATATTGACAAATATTCTTATCTATAAAATATCGTATTGTGCTGCTTCTGATGTAAAATAAAGAAAATTACATTGCCCCAAACTATCATCCAAAATTTCATGTTAGTCCCTTAACTTCCAATTTGTAGCAGTTAGTGACCTAAACTTCTAGCAAGTGCTACATCAGAGGTGTTCATCACATTTTCACAAGAAACCTTGACATACTAATTATGTGGCTGCGCAATAAACAATTCAACAAGATGGAAATATCAGCTTATTTGAAAAATGAAGATGAAAAAAAGAAGAAAAGAAGAGAAGGCAACA